TCATGCGCAGCAGAATGAGCGACAAGCATTTTGAGATGCTAGTATTCTTGCGGAGGAACAAATGAATAATTAAAAATGATATACAGGTGCTCCCCGACTTACGACGGGGTTAGGGACCCAAATCCAGGTCGTAAGTACGAATGGTCATAAGTCCGACATTGATAAAAATTGTTTTCAAAAAATTAAAAAAAAATAATAAAAAATCTACAATGAAATACAGTACTTGTACAGTAAAAGTAATAAATAATGAGGAATGGATACAGTGTGACTGAGCACTTACCATTAATGTAGTCAGCTGAATGCACACGGGGCCCCCATAATTTTCTAATCATACATGGAGACTACATTAACTGGAAACGTTTCGGTATGGAATATGGGCATAAAAAAAAAAAAAAAAAAAATTGGTCACAACTACGGCGGTCGTAAATCTCGACGGTCATAAGTTCAGAGCAGGTCGTAAGTACCGATGGACGTAAGTCCAAGCAGTCGTAAGACGGGGACTACCTGTAATACAAATCATAATAAATGATTAAAAATTAATGAATATTTTTTTGATTTTGCATACGTTACTCCCATACACAGGAGAATACGCGTTTTGGGGCTGCATTTGTACGTCACTGATTTGTACGTCACTGAAAACTCGTTGATGCTAGGTGTTGACACTGACGGCGTCAATTTATGAAATCGTTTACGCCGATGCTGACGGCATCAAATTTCTCGGCCGTTTACGCTGACGGCGCCACTTTTTTCGTTGACGCGTACAACACTGAGTATACAGTTTCATAAAATATTTTTATTGTTTTCACATGGCTTTGGATATTATTAATGGTTAAATTAAACCAATCTGTGGTAACTTACCGGTTGCTACTTGTTGTAACATGGGCCCATGAGAATATATAATCCCCCCAACACAGGTGAACCTCTATATACAGTATACAGTACATGCTTAAGTTCTAAATTAACAAGACACTTATTTTTGGGTCCACACACACACACTACAGTATATATGAAATTACATTACACAGAGGTTCCAAAACTGTTATTGATATAAATTAAGTTTTACCTGTATGTACTATTCCATTTGAGTATAAGATATTCAAACTAAAAAACAGAAATAAAAGAATAACCCATACTGACCTCCTCTCTATCTCTGCCAACAAGGAAGTCCTCAAAGAGATCCATTTGAGAACTGTTTTTATTCTTTGGTTCAGTCTTCCGTCTCGTTCTGCTATTCTTCTTAGCAGATTTACTTTTGGAAATATCATTTGATTCCTCATCCCCCTTCATGAAATCTGCAGCACTTGCTCTTCTATCACCACTCAAGTCCTTACTATATTCTACTGTATTTGTCATTGTTGGTACATGCTCACCAATGTTTGTATCCTTTACCATGTGTGTGGAATCCCTCTCTGTCATGTGTGTGGGATCCCTCTCTGGCTTGTGTGTAGGATCCTTCTCTATCATGTGTGTGGGATCCCTCTCTGTCAAGTGTGTGGGATCCTTCTCTGTCATGTGTGTGGGATCCTTCTCTGTCTTGTGTGTGGAAGTGACTGTCTCCAACGAGTTTATATGTCTTTCTTTATCCTCACTAGACACTTTATCATGATTACCAAGCCCTGTAGGTGTCTTCAATGAATCACTGTTATGTACAGAGGAACATGATTGTCTCGGTGTTCTGTTAGTCTTCTTATCGTGAGAGCAGGTACTTAAACCAACGGTTTGTATTTTCTCTTTATTTAGCCCTCGACGTGCAAGACAGGAGAGAATAAACTGCAAGTCATTAGAATTAGAAGAGATTGCTGGTTGACATTCTTCTTCTGCACTTAATGTGGATTTCCACCTTTTAGTTCCTGCAAGTTCACTTTGTACTTGTTTTTTAACACTTTCACATTCATTACTACTGCCAACATCTGTGTTAGTTTCTAACTTCTGTCCTTGTACATGGAAACTGTTTACAGCAGCTTCTGTGCTACCATCCAGTGCAGTGTCACTTCTCATGTCACTCTCTCCTCTATCAACTTTATATTCCGGTACAATTTCATTTTTTTTAACCTCACTTCCAAAGACTTTGCTTTTGTTACCCTTACTAATTTGTCTCCCATCATCATCAGGTGTGGCTGTCCCAGAACATATAGCTTCACTGTCATTGTTTTTCTGCATTCCAAGTTCTAAAAATATATCAGCATCATCTACGCTATCATTAACAGACTCCTCCTGAGGCCTTGTTACTGATGAAAGAGATTCTAAATCACAATAGAGATCACTTTCATCAGAACCTAGGCTAATACCTTCCACATCAATGTCTGACTCTTCCTCCGATGACAAACTGCTATCAATATCCATGACTACAAGTTGCACTCTTAGTCAATTATCATTTGTGAAAGAGATAGTCCTGCAAAGATCGAAAATAAAGTATATATAATTTACAATACAATTGCACCTGTAATACATTTTTTGCTCTTTCAAGCCTTTACCTATTTTACACACATTAGTTGGAAACATGAGAAAATACAGTACAGGTTTACCTCAAATTACAATAACTAAGTATATACTGTACTGGATACATTATGGATACATTACAAGACGTGTATATGATTTATACATTTTAGGATAGTAAATAATTCTATATTTGAAATTTTATTGTTTATATATATTTTTTTTTAAATTAAAGAAAATTTTCTTGATAGGAAAAGATGTAATCACCTATTATATTAAAAAAATATCCAGTAATTTGCTTGTTTTCTGCAATTTTCATGCAACATTCTCTATCTAGTGATGCCAGGAAAGTGACTAACACCTGAAATGAGCAGCAGAAATACTGTACTGTACCCGATTGGTAAGAGAACCTACAAAGTCATCACTTTAGAAGCTAAATTTAGTATGGCAGGGCTGGCTGGGAAGATAGGTAAGGTTTTATTAGGTTCTAGTTAATCAGCCGTTTTTTCAGTTGTTCAGAAGCTAGCTCCCACACATGCATGGGCTTATTAAACACATTTCAATTGATGCATACGACTGGTGTGAGAGGCCTCGGAAACTCATTTAATAAGCCCATGCATGTGTGGGAGCTAGCTCCCGAACAACTGAAAAAACGGCTGATTAACTAGAACCTAATAAAACCTTACCAATCTTCCCAACCAGCCTTGCCATATTAAACAAAATGTGCTTATTTTGATATCTGGTACCAATGAAAACAACTTTGTTGAAGCATTATAGTGTAATTTTATGTTTTTTTTTTCGTGTGGACATGAGACTATGCTCAGACCGAGCAGGTTGGTTGTAAACAAACAGATGACACGCGGTGACTCGGCAGATTTTTCGGAGGAGTATTTACGGTAAATAATTAATTTCTTCACGCACAAAGCATGTGCACATAATTTTAGTGTCATATGATCAGTTTTTAACTGTATTTTACCTAGCACTTTCCCTCATCCTTCATGCCTGCCTACTACGGGTGATTTATGATCGTAGATGGAGAAAACTAAAAAAATATAAAAAATATTTACAATTAAAATAAAAAGTTGTCGGCTCTTATAAAATACATACTGTACTATAATGACAAGAACATGTGGAAAAAATAAATGAAATTAAAACTCCTTCTGATGGCAGCAATGTTCTCATAAATTACCCAAGTTTTTGAAGCAAGCAACTATGGACAAATACCTATACAGGTTGACAACCCTTTATCTGAAATCCCGAAAACCGAAAAGCTCTGAAAACCAAAAGTTTTTTTTGTGGAGCATTACAGGGATTAGCCCACCCAGGCATAGATCACTGACCCACATCGGGGCCTGTGGGGCGAAAATGTAATAGTAATACTAATTATAATAATAATTATAATAATAATTATTCATAGTAAATAAAAATTTTAATTATAAAATACACCAAATTAAAATAATAATGATAATAATAATAAAATACAATAATAAAATTTATAATAATAATAATAACAATAATACTGTATTAATAAAATAATAATAATAATAAAGAAATACAAGAATGAAAAAAGATAAAAAAGTGAGAAACACGACCTAGACCTATGAATTATTATTATTATTATTATTATTATTATTATAATTGTTATTATATTTTCGCCCCTCAGGCCCCAATGTGGGTCAGTGACTTGTGCCCAGGTGGGCTAATACAAAAAATAAAAATAAATAAAAAATAACCATTCTGAAAACCGAAAAATTCCAAAATCCGAAATGCCTCTGGCCCCAAGGATTTCGGATAAGGGATTGTCAACCTGTATCTAGACTATACTGGTAAGTTATAAGTTAAGCAGGATTTAACCAAAGTAATACATACACCAGTTTTGCAGTATTAAGTGGTTCATTCCTGCCAAATTCACATGTAATTCTGTGATACCTTTTGTAATCAATGAGGGAACAGAGATTACCACTGCCTAATTATGATTTAAAATAAGGGCAGTGGATATTTTGCAGTAACCGGCTAAGCTCCTACTAACGTTATTTTACCTGAGTTCTCTCTGATTTGCTAATCGTCCATTACCAGCGAACAACACAAGAACGATCTGTGATCGAGACTATGGCAGCCTTTGGCATTAATTTTGCTGTGAGTCGATCATTGTGTAGCTACAAACATTCCTAACCAGAAGCAGGTGTTCAATTTTGTTCAGTTTTATCACAAATGTTCTTAATGTTCTAATAGAACCTGACCTAACCAACCAAAGCAACCTACCTAACATTACTTAACTTCCGGTCAATTTTCACTAATGCACCAGTCCTTGTTTGGATATAAAAAATGTTTTTCCGATGTTATTTGACGAGTTTCGAACAAATTTTACAATTCATTTCAGTCGGAAATCAATAGTTTTTGAGATCCCCCTCCCCCAACCATCAATCTTAACGATTTTGTTTTTCAAGTAAATCACAAATAAAAAAAAACAAAAAATAAACAGCAAAACGAAACCTAACCTGATTTAACCTAACACTATTTTTCTGATAAAACTCTGCAATTGACGTAAAATAATCTCTATCACAATGTCGGCACAGCATTTTCCACCTGTTTGGCCATATCTGGTTATTCTGGTGCTGAAAAATCAAATCTCCGTTCCAGACGCACCCACGCATTGTTCATTGGCTAAGACAAAAAACTCTTGCCCAATTATGTCTCCTATCACTATAGCCAATAAGAAACTCCCACACCACCCCCCGCACATGTGCCGTAGACTCTTAAGGAGCCAACACGGAGGTAAGGAGCACTGCATGATGGGTGGTCAGACTTTCTCTGTAATACGTAAACAACAAATGGCGACACTTGTGACTGACCAAATCTGATATTGAAAAATTCTCGGTTATCCTTAATTTCCGGCCAGAATAACACAGAAGAAAAAGGTCTTATAATTACCTAAACATTAAGAAAAACATATTAATAACAGAGAGAGAAAGACCGGTGCATGATTGAAATTTCACCTAACTTCCTAGCTGGGGGGCGGACCCATCATATTGAACATAAAGTACTTAGCCAATCAGAGCGCTCTCACGGTAAAATAGCGCTTGTGGGAACTAAGCCGGTCACGGCAAAATATCCACACCATAAAATACCTGTATATTCAAAAAAATTTGTTTCCAAGTTTCGTCACTTTGGCATTAAAATATACAGCTTTGGTGAAAATCCCTACAAAAACTATTAAATTTAAGAAGCCAATCTCTAACATTGCCCAAACTTGTATAACAGACTCCAAATGAGCTCTTGAATAATCCAAAGTATTAAATACCCTTCTTCAGTCCAACATAAATAGTATGATTAAACATTCGCAAATTTGTAGTTTTTCATGTGATTTTATAGTATGTAACGGCGGACCTATCCATAATGTATAAACACAATTACCTCACGTGCTTTAACAGATGGCAGTGATGTGGAATTCTGAGCGATGGTAATGTACAGGCTTCCCGATCTCGTCACTGGCCACTGATGTTACTGTAAATGTAAACAAACATTCGGGAGCCTGGGAAAGCGCGGGAAAAAGTTGTTAAAGGAAAAGCTAAATGCGCAACTATATATCACGTAAATAATTCCAAGGTAAGTAATTAACAGACGTCAGTAGAGTTGAAGAACAGTTCCATTCATACTTAGATTAAGATCCCTTTAATATGTATTAATTTGCAGTAAAAAGGGTGGGCATTGGCAGGAGAAGTGTATCGTCTGCAGCGTGTACGAACTTCCGCTGACAGATGAACATAGGGAATGTAGCCAGTAAGCGGAGGAGCCTTCCCTCGAAATAGAGATCGGGCAGCAAAGGCTTCCTGGATGAATATAACATCTGGATGATGGTGATAAACATAACCTTTAAGTGCAGCGAGATCGTTTCTGATTCCACAGGCATTCCATGTGAAGCGGTATCCAGTTATCGAACTTGACGTTTACCCATACGAGAGCCAGGTGTGGAAGAGAAGGTGGCACGGGCACGGACATCAGAGAGTTGACAGCATCGCGGAGGGCAAGTACTTCGACAGAATCAGGATTAGTAGAGGTAAAGGTGGTGTGGAGTCCTGCGGCAAAGATGCGGGTGCCTTAGGACCCACCAGCGATACATAAGGCGGTGGTGGTGCCGAGGCTGGAGCGGCAGGCTGGCGTCTGGTGCAACTGTGCCAGATGTTGACGCCTCGTTTATGACAGAGAGGACATTTCCAGTGAGAGGTATCTGATGCAGTTAGGGGAGGTAGCCTCGAGGTAGAGGCATCGGAGGTAGTGGGTGATGAAGGGGTCCGGTGAGAGCATGAACTGGAGTCATAGGCTCCCTCGCACCAGGCACATTTCTCTGGAGCAGAGCAGTAGAGGGATATATGACAAATTCCCCAGCACTTGAAGCACCATGGTTGTTCGGTCTTCATTTTGCGTAGTTCACTAGATGGGAGACAGGGGAAGAAACTGAAGGCGATAGCTGGTGGGGGAGGGTCTGGGAGACTCCAGATGACAAGCCTAGGGTAGCATATAGGGTAGCAAGTGAGGAGGTAGCTAGGGAATTTGCGGAGCCTGTCAGGTGAATCCTGAACGTCGAGGAGCAAGGAGAGGAACTCATCAGTCTTACCCTATCTATGATGTCCGTGCGTCGTCTGGAGATGTAGACGAAGCGAAAGGTAACAGCAGACATCTTGACCTCAGCAAGGTCCCAGTCGAGGTGAAAGGTCCTGGTGACCTCGGCTAGCCAGCGTATTTTTGTATCAACCGAAAGGTTTCCTTTGAAGAGGAGTTTATAGTCAGCTCGGGGGGCAAAAGCTGGAGGTATAGGAGCGGGCTGGGAAACGGCCAGAGACGAAGTTGCCCTAGAGATGGGATGTCCGTGGGCTGGAAGCTGTTTTTGGTCAGGTGAGTTATGTGTTCCCAGTTCAGAGGCTTCCCGCGCTGTAGTGCACGAGGGACCCACGTGCTGAGAAGCAGAAGCCTGTGTATTTTTTAGAGTTTTGGAGGAAGGAGACGGATATTCCCTGTCACTGTCTGAAGTGGACTCCAAGGAGCGTTTGGTGGCGGTAGGGGCCCTGGTGGCTAAGCAAAGCAGGAGGGGGCCAAACTTCCCTGGATGGCATATCCTCGTCGCTTAGCGCTAGGTTCGGCCTCCAGGTTGGCAAGGGTGACGGGTCTGGAGTACTCCATAACGCCCCGAGTCGCGGTCTGACCACATAAGGGGACAGACGTGTGCCCATAGGTGCTCCTGTCCTCCCGACCATCACACAAAGACCACCTCAGTCTCTACCTACCCCTTCGCCGGCAAGTGTTGCCAGCAATGGGGGGTTGACGTAAACGCCCCAGAAGAGGCGTCCCCCCTCTCATCGATACAGACATTTCTGATATGAATAGTCATACTGCCTCCCACACCCAGCAAGAGTCAGACCTCAGTGATAGTGACAGTAACAGTAATGTTTCTATGGGAAACACTTGCCGGAGTGGAAACACCAATGCCAAAGGCAGCGAGCTTCCCCTCGCCACCCACCCCTCTGCCAACCAACCAAGTAAGCTGAATCTGCACTTCCCCAAGGACTCACTGAAAACCGTCCAGGAACGGTTTAATTGGACAACAAAGTATTGCAGACAATTCTGAAAAGGTAAGAACCGTAACTTTATCAAGTGTCAGACTCCTGAGGCATATGAAACACTTAGTACTGTTGGATTTGACGGGGTTGTCCTCGTGCCTCCACCTGCTGACGCAGTGGAATGTTGCCACATCCTAGTTAAACAATTACCCCTATACACTGAAGTCGAAGATGCTCCTAACTTTAATCCACGTATACTCAGTATACGTCGACACTACCGAGGGAAGACCCCACAAGCAGCTGTCATAGTTAAATGGAAGGGGAGGGAGTGCCCAACCACTGTTGAGGCCCACCCAGTCCTCCCTCCACTGTATGCAGAACCAGTTGGTTGAAAATGTTCAAAGGAGGGCCACCAGACTGGTGCCTGCACTTCGGCACCTCAACTACCCTGAGAGATTGGAGCGCCTGAACTTGTCTAGCTTATACTACAGACGGGCAAGGGGCGACCTAATTGAGATGTATAAGCATCTCAAGGGGCACTACTCAGCCGAGTGTCCTTACAGTCTCTCCTCGACTTACGACATATTCGACTTACGACAACCCGGACATACGACGGCCATGGTTGTATGAAATATTTTTCACATTACGTATTTTCGAGTCCCGACGTTAGTGATCTCGCTGTGTACTGATAAAATTTTCGTTTTAATTCGCTTTAAAATGGCTGGAAAGAGTAAAAGTGAGAGTTCTCGTGGTGCTGAGAAGAAAAAGAGACACTCATTTTAGAATTTCTATGTATTATTTTCGCCTTTTCGACTTACGACCTGGTCGTCGGGACGGAACCCCATCGTAAGTCGAGGAGAGACTGTACTTGGAGCTGGCGGACGCTTTCCCCACAAGGGATCACAGCTCAAGATTGAAGAAGCCGCAGGTCCAGAAAACTGTGAGGGCAAACTTTTTTGGAGTGAGTTGTGAACTCTTGGAATAATCTACCAGAAAGTGTTGCGTCGGCACTGAGTGTGAGCTCTTTCAAGACCAAACTTGACCAACGCTGGAGCAGGTTCAGGCACATTCAGGAGCCGGTGTATGCCCAGTACTTGCTAACAATGAGTAACAGAGATGTGACCGATCGCCCAAGCGGCTAACGAGCCGATCAGTGGTGAAGAGGAGAAAAGTAAAAGTAAAAGTATATCACCCCAGGCCTGCTTTCTGTGTCATCTGCTCCCATTGGGGTCACACCTTCACCGCTTGCTGCCGACGTGATCGTCCCAGATGTCGTTTCTGTTCACCTAACCATCACTCCTCTGACTGTGCCCAGAAAATCAAAGACCACCTCAATGGGGGTGGTGTGAGCTATGGTGTTGACCCCATGTGTTGTAATTGTGGTGGCTGGTGTAATGCTGACTCACGGCAATGGCCCAAATGTCCGCCTGTCCCAGGAAAAAAGCCTCCCCGAAGGCTGCGTCAACCTCAACCTACCCCAGCCTACTGGGCCGCATCACTCTGCGTTCCCTCCTCTGGCAACGCCTTCTTCAACAATACCTGCCCCTGCCTGGCCTCACCTGGCTACAACACAGCAGTCTCGGCCGTCTCCTAACTCAACTACTACTGGGCCTCCTCCCGTCTCTACTCTGACGCTGTCAAGCCTTGTGCTCAAACCGGTGCTCCCCCACAACCCCCCTCCGATGACACGACACAGATCATATCCCTCTTCCACGAATTTACCAACCGTATTGAAAGATTCTTTGATACATTCTGTTCCGCCATCTCCAACCTACACCGACTACCCCTGCCTCCAGCTGCTACCCAGTCACCCCCCTCTTCTGGTTTGACACAAGCTGGTAGCCCCCCCTGTGTGCCCCTCTTGCTCACGGCCTACTCCACCGCCGCCTGGCATCACTGCTGGCGTGGCACCTACCAAGCCTGCCCCCATCCACCCACAGCAAGCCGCGCCTGCTCATGGACCCGAGGACCCCATCCCCGGCTCCCCGTCCCCCACCGGCAAGCCGGCACCTGGGGCCCATCCACTCAAGTTCTCCACATCAATTGACCACCATGAGGACAGGCTAGTGAACTACGTATCTACGCCAAGAAGGGCGTCCCCCTTGAAGCCGACACTACCGTCGTACACGCCATCACAATATTGTCGATGCCTATGGCCTGGCACTCGATATTATTAGGGATCTGCCACTCTTTGCCATAAACAGATAAATTGTACCAGGAATTTCCCCACACACTCATCATTCTGTCACTTTATGTAACTTGCTGACAAAACCCTTGACCCTTCAGGCTTTTACGCCCTTAATGCACGAGTCATAAAGGCAAGCATGAACTCAGCATGCTTCCCAGATGAGCGCTGTAAACTCTTCACCGTGCACAGGATGTAAGGGGATGTCCAATTAACTAGCCCCCTCGGGGGTAATCTAAAAAAAAATCTGACGCCCCTGGACACCATGACAGGCAGCGCACAGAGCGGTGGCGGCAATGTCACCACTGCGTCGCTGTCCCGTCACACACAGTGGTAAAGCGGAGTAGAGGTGCTGGGGTGGTTGGGTAGTTTATAAAGGCGTCACCACTACATCACACTCTTCTCACTATGCATGCGCAGACACGAAAACAACCGACCAGAGATTCCAGATATTTTATCAAAGTTCTAAGTCCAGCAATTTGAAATTTCACAAGTGACACTGTGCTGATAACTGGGTCTTACTGTAGTTCTCTGCACTGACTGGAGGTAGTCGACTCACTCTCATCACATGATATTGTCCTTTAGTTGTGACAGTTATTTGGTTTATGATGAGAACAAACGAAGATTCAAATAATAAAAAAGTGATCACAAGTAAATGGGAGACGAAACAAGTCGTACTTCTGTGAGTGATTAGTAACATATTTAGGCAACACTTAAAGAACTACTGGTGCAGATAATGATAAATACAGTACAGCGTATCGAACAATAGATGAGATCATAAGAGGACGACAATTGCCTTTTGTTATATTTTATTAAACTATATACTAGGAGTGGGTAAAATAATCAAAACTTTATTGAAAATTACCAATGATTTACTAAGATTCATGCACACTTATATTATTATACAAAATCAGATAAAGAAAATGACTATTGTGCACTGATGGATGTGTAAACACAAAACGAAAGGAATATACAGGTACTGTATACAACCCTCTCAGTGCTGTTTCATACTTCGAGAACTACACATTTACTACAAAAGGAGACTTAATGATTCGATTACTACTGAATAGAGCTGGCATAAATTTTTATTATCTAACTTTTTTATGTTGTTTGAGGCTCCAACATAATTATGATACTAATTTTAGTTAGTCTACCCCTGTATACTGGCCATGTATTGTATAATCCATGAATAACTTATGATCTAAGTATAGTCTCTCTCTCTCTCTCTCTCTCTCTCTCTATATATATATATATATATATATATATATATATATATATATATATATATATATATATATATATATATATATATATATATAATTCACTTAATTCTATTTTCTCTTCAGGTTTTCAAATCTCTTAGCTAGGTCGTCAAAGTCCACAACATCCTCGTTAGATTGTGAGGTATTCGAAGATTCATTCCAGGGAACAGCAGGAAGCTCTGGAAGATCACACTCTTCCCCGCCACCACACACCTCTGATTCCTCCTGCAAGAATAGGATTAAATATATTTTTGTAAAGATTACAAAAAAAGTGAAGTTCATGAGCTCTGTCAATAAAGTGTTCATGGAAAGGAAAGCAAATCAAAACCAATAAATGGAGATACGTTCATTTAACTCAAGTATTCATTTTTGTCCCTTAAAATGTGAATGATGTAATGTATCTAAATACTGTCAGGACTCAATGCAATTTCGACATGATTTCGATAGCCAACTTTATCCTTGCTTGAGTGAGTTCATTAGATGCGTTCTCATATACTGTACTGAATTAGACAAATCATTGAAAATTCAAGCCAAACGATAGATTGGTTTCCATGACCTATTACACTACTTAAACAATGCATTCCCTTGCGACATCAAATAACGTATTGCAATCGTCTAAAGAACACTACTATACAAAATTGTATCAATAAAGGGTGTTGTGTAGTTAGTGCCAGATATCAAGAACTGGAACATCTCAGATGTTGATATCCAAATAATCAACATTATCAGCAGATTATCTGGTTATCTTGATTCTACCTTGTTATCTATGTCTCAGTATCGTTATCTTTAGTCAGCATGTACAAGCTCTTATAATGTCCTAGAATTTAAAACTATACAATTCAACAGCACTTTGTGACTTACCAATGATATATTGTTATATAATTAATAATACAAATAGTAGTACTGTACATATTATCGACCAGACGCGATTTGTGAGATGTGGCTGCTTATCTAGCATCTTAGTCTGGCTACTATTGTGAGGTTCCTTAGGGCCATTCCAACAATTTCAATACAATGTAAACAAACAGTGTAGTACCACATCTCACAAAACAAACAAAAACGCTTCAGCCACAATACACGCGATTGTACCTTTACTGGGTCATGGTAAACTGGCGTACTCTGGCTGGTTTTCCCGTTGCGTTGAGTATTATTCATAAAACTGCATGGCAAGCACGCTGACTAGGCAGATAGCTATATAAATAGCATTTTGCATCTAAAAGACACATTAATACAATAGAATAGATTCTTACCTTTCATGCACTGAGGGTGATGAGAGTGCCATCAGAGGCATGGGTATAATGGATTCTGTGCTGAGTACCTGAAATATTCATTAAAATATCTGTCCTTAGTACTTACCGGTGGGTGTAGTGTAACTAGTCTGTGAAAAGTTTATATCATAGAAGGGGAGATTAAATAGAAGTTTTTATGCACCACAAAGGTCACTTGGTCACTCCACTAGAGGTCACAGGTTCATGTTAAAGAAGCTATCACTACAGAAAATTAAAAGAACCGATTTTCTTGGAGTAAGAGTGGTGAACTCTTAGAATATCCTGTTAATGTCGTGACAGCACCAAGTGTGAGCTTGTAGTGGATTCCTCCCCTACAAGCACCGAACCTTCTCGAATTCCCCAGCCTACGCCTCCAGCGCCGCCCACGGAGCAGGGGTCAACTATCTACCCACGCCTACCCCCGCCTTATAAGACCTGACACCGCTGTGACCACCCTCTTTTCTACCAAGTGCCACCTTCAAGCAACACCATCTCATCCGCGCTAACCTGGCGGCTGCCGCGCCCGCCAGCGACCTTGGCGTCCCTCAAGCGTGTCCCTCCTCTGGGCACCCTCACCACCCAACTCTCTCTACTCAACGCTTATTACCATGCTACCTACCCAGCAACAAGCTGCATTGTACATCCAATACAATATGTATACAGTGAGCACATTGTGAGTTTCCTTTCTCCATCCCATCCTGAGTGTGAACCAATATCTCATACCTCCACAAGCTCCTGTACGTCTAGACTTGACCAGCACTGGCACATGTTCAAGTACTCTTATATACAGTACATTCAAGGGCCTTTACATACCCAGTCATAACTAACATCGCGTAACAGTTCCTCTAATTATCAACAATGTGAACAAAAACAAAGAAAAAGGATAATTACTGCCTAGTTGCTCTTGCCAGCGTTGTGGGTAAAGGAAAGTGGATGAATAAACCGAGGTAAAGAGCCAAAGGAAAGGAAGAATTATACTGAATTAGAAGTACTGTGTTAGAAGAGACTTGAGAAATGGTAGTTATGGTGGAAACTGGAGTGAATTTGTGATAAACAGAGATGATGAGTATAAAATAGGCAGGAGTTCAATACGGAAGAAACAACTCACCTTTGGATAATGATGCATCCATCGACTGCAGGTCTAAAAATAGCCAGTTAACAACAATAATACAAACATTTTCACTATGGTAACTCACTTCTGTCTAAAATCTACAGAAAATCTGTTTTTGGGCCTGAACAGATCACGTGAACGTATGATAAAGATCAGCAGGAAGCTATTATTATTTTACGCATTTAAATACTTCAACATACAAGATCTGTAAGCATGGTTCACTAAATCTCGGTTTCTACATTAGCCAATAGCTTTTAAAAACTTAAAGTAATTTTCTTGCATTACGGAAGGTGGGAAGACAGTGACCCCTGTGATCCCTAACCATCAAATTAGCTGAGGTTAATTTGGTTTACATTCGTAGTTATATTTTCACCATGATGTCACAACTTACAGGGTCGGGGGTGACATCCGGTAGGAAGTTGTTAATATCATTGAAGTCCAACAGATGTGGAACGTTAGGAGCATTGTTGGGTCGGGTCATGGGCAGCATAGGATGGGAAGAGTATGCTGGTGGGGGGGAATTATTCTTAACATCCCACTGTCCACTCCCATTCACATGCTGCAGGATTGAAACTAGGTTCAGATTTCAGTATTAATAGAGATACAATAGTTCATATGTGGTGACAGCATCATAAATAGAATACCCCAACGGAGGACAGGATAAGACATTAATAAAATTTATTCACGTGTGAAGTGGTGGCGTAGTAATTCTCATTTCCTCCATTTTATGACGATATATCTCGACCATAAAGTGTTTCTAAAATGCACCAGCTCTAACTATGGTGGACTGGTGTTGCTACAAGGTGCTTAAAAATACTATAACAGTATCAATCAATACAAACTTACCTATTTTATTCATATTATCATAGATTTATCTAAAGCGATTATCTCATTAACCTACAGTGAATAGGATTTTCAATGTCGATCGACATTTTAAGGTCTAGCTCAAAGGTTAGTTTTAACCATGACTCCAAGAAAATTGCCTGGTAAAATATACACGTTTGTGGGCCTGAGTGAACTGCACTAGCTTAGCTAGGGGGGGCGGTCCGCCCCGGGCGGCACTTTTGGGGGGGCGGCACTTTTGGGTCTGCTCATCACCCATATCTGCAGCTACTGGAGACGTTAATCCATCCCTTTGTATCGGCGGCAAGTTAATCCTTGTCGTGTCTGACCTAACACCTGACCCACATCATCACGGCCACGTCATGAGCTACGTACACCCTTGCTATGCGCCCCCCCCCCACACACACAACCTGTAACCTGTTGAGGATTAAGGAAACAACTTCAAACAAGTACGCCAGTGAGCTCATGTGGTGTGGGTCAGGTGTTAGGTCAGACACGACGAGGATTAACTTGCCGCCGATACAAAGGGAAGAATTAACGTCTCCAGTAGCTGCAAAACCATGCAGTCTCGGGTCATATCAGTTCATGTACAGCCGACCAATCCACCAGTTACAAGCAATTCACTTCAGTTCTCCACAAGTCTCCATCGTGACAAGACGAGGGGAGGCTAGACGACTTTTAAGTTCTCTTGTGTTTTCGATCCAGTTATTTACTTCGTTGGAAGACATAATACTATAAGGTAAGAAATATCAAAGTATTGGTTAAAAAATATTGATGTGACTTTTGCTGCGGTACTGAGATTAAATATTAAGATTTTGTTTCACAGCATTGCGATTTTATACTAAGACACTATCCTCACTGGGGTACAGACAAAAGCCCCCCGACAAAAGCCACCCAGACAAAAGCCCCCCAGACGAAAGCCACCCAGACAAAAGCCCCCTACTTTGATCGGGGTGGCTTTTGTCTGACAACAGTAAGGCAAACTATTTAATATATATATATATATATATATATATATATATATATATATATATATATATATATATATATATATATATATATATATATATAAAAGAGTGAGTCACTGTGCAATATGTATTTTTTGTAGGGTCACGGGGGGGGGGGGCGGCAAACTCAAGGGCCGCCCCGGGCGGCACACACTCTAGCTACGCCACTGGACTGAACTGACACCTTTTAATGAGCGAATAACATATTACTTAATATGTTCTTAGGAAGCAGAGCCTAGATTACAACCAACACATAACAAATACAGTATACACAATACAACATTAAGTAAAAAAATATATATCAACAAGACCATGTAGTATATTGCTTGCACAATGAGAATAATTGAGCAAGAGGACAGTCAACGCAAGCAGTCATCACCAATACAATACCACTAACCTGTATATCGTTATACATTTTGTCCAGTTTAGGGTCAGCGTAAGGGTCAGGTCCACTATACTCAGGGGGGATGTTATATGCACCCTTATGTCCTCCCCCTGGCACACAACCCTGAAATTAAGGTATATTAGGTTGGGTTTTTTCAGGCTAGGCTTTGTTAAATTTAGTTGTCATTTGTCATGCAAGTTATTAAAAGTATTTTTTTTAAGGAATAGTTACACTTGGTTACTTTTTTCTACCACTTATCCATTTGTCTGTTCTTTGTTACGACCTCCATTGTCCAGTTTTAGTACAGGTGGAAACTGGAGTACCCGGAAAAAAACCCAGCTATATTTCTTTAGGTTTATCAATTTGGTTAAGCTTTGTTAGGTTCTCTTAATTTTAATTAGGTTAGAGAGGCAAAGGTACAGTAGGATACTCTTACCGGGGGAGGTGTGTAGGGTTGACGTGAGGGGTCAGTTGAAGGTGGTAGACCTAGTTTAACCTGGAGGTGGGTGTGCTTGGTGACCCCTCCCTCAGCACCCTCTACTCCTAGGTCATCCATCTGGCCAAGGTCAAAGAGAGAGTGGCCTTGTCTTCCCTCACTGACACCCATCACCTGCATGATAGAAACCCTCTTTACAAATGTTTAATTTACATAAAATAAGTCGCAGTGCCACTCTTACAGTCCGGGCACTACTACATGAACGGGCAGACAAACATCTCACGCCTTGTGATATTGTGAAATTAACAGAGAGACAGGGAGAGTCGGAGCATGCCCAGTACTTGCCAACAGTGCGTAACAGAGACGTGACCGATCGCCCAAGCGGCTAACGAGCCGATCAGTGGTGAAGAAGATAAAAAAAAAGAGAGATTGTTAAAACTATATACCACAGACAGAACAAAGAGACAGGGAGAGAGATTGTTTAAACTATATATCACAGACAGAACAAAGAGACAGGGAGAGAGATTGTTTAAACTATATATCACAGACAGAACAAAGAGACAGGGAGAGAGATTGTTTAAACTATATATCACAGATAAGAGCAGACACAATCAAATATCCGTGTTATATACCTGGGGGTCAGGTTGGTACTCCACATCATAGGTTTTGGCAATCTCTATGAGGTATTTCTCCACCAGCACCTTTGAAGGCGCGTGGATACTAAGTTTATTTATCAGTCGTTTGCTAATTTTCTCTATCTGTTGTTCACGACACGCCTGAAAAAAAGACACCAGAAAAACAAGAAACTAAGATCTGTTTTTAACTGTGCAAAGTCTCATCCATTCTCATTTTTCAAGCAAAAAATAGACAAACTAACACTTGTGCCTATGGTCAGAAGGACGATTAGCTGTGTGAGAGAGCACATGCAAATGACTAATATTTCTAAGGACAGCTAGTTTTTAAGATAGGCCTTTTTCAGCCACTAAAACTAGCTGACCAAGTGAATTTCACATGGATAAACTAGCAGGTACTCACCTGAACAAAGGGTTTGCCATACTTAAGTGTGAGGTGATGATCTATCTCTCTAAGTTCTGGTACATCTGTTTGCAGCCTGGGGCACACCCACAACAAGGAGGAGATAGCTTCTGCCAGTCCCTCGTCTAACCCCCTGACAAATAAAACTTTTTTCAGGTATCATATAATAATTGCGTACTTTTAAATTTTCATAAAGTACAAGATCAATGACCAGCCTGCATGTGTGTGTGTGTGTGTGTGTGTGTGTGTGTGTGTGTGTGTGTGTGTGTGTCTGTTTATTATAACAATAGAATTAATGTACATAGCTGACCTCAGCTGTTGTACAAGGCCAAAGCGAGACAATAGAAGGTCACAGTACATCTCCGTCAACTCGAGAGCCTCCACAAGGTAGTCTTCTCGGATGATCTGTTCAACACGAATCTTCGCGCGAGTTGTCTGGAAAGAGATTCCGACTGTACAGTCAGATGGTCATAACTAAAATGTTATACAACGTTCACAACCCATTTGCCTGGATTAGTCCTCACCGGAATGAACATAAAAGAGAATGGTGGACCGGGTCCGACTAATTACCCAAATGTAGCCAAATATAGCCGGAATGAAGTCAAATAATGGTCCTAGATGAATAAATCGGACTGCCAATCACTTCTCGACTAGTATTTGGTGTCACAAAGTCACAAAAAATTGGTAAACTTAATTTAATCTGAGTTAATAGATCGAGTGAATGTACCTAACCTAACCTCGACTAGTATTTGGTGTCACGAAGTCACAAAAAATTGGTAAACTTAATTTAATCTGAGTTAATAGATCACGTGCATGTACCTAACCTAACCTAACCTAATCTAATCTAACCTAACCTAACACAACACAACTCAGATTAAATTAAGTTTACCAATTTTTTTTACTTTATGACACCAAATAATAATCGAGAAGTGATTCACAACCCGAATTACGCTTGTACGACCATCATTTGACTTCATTGCGGCTACATTTGGGTAATTCCTCGCTCCCTCGGTACATGCACGCGATCTATTAACTCAGATTAAAGTAAGTTTTCCAATTTTTTGTGACTTTCTGACACCAAATACTAGTCAAGAAGTGATTAGCAGTCCGATATATTCATGTAGGACCATTATTTGACTTCATTGCGGCTATATTTGGCTACATTTGGGTAATTAGTCGGACCGGGGTGGACCTAAAAACTGACCAACTGATGGTCAACAACATGAAGATGAGGCTGAAGTTATGAAAAGGTAAAACATAAAAAAAAATGCGTGTCAAAATAATGGTAAAAGAGAAGTTAAACTTGTTCATAATTAAAAACAAACGTGGTATACTGATAAAGGTGATATTCATGATCATGAATGACCAAGAATAAAAATTTTTTTTAATCGCACGAGTAGCAGGAGTGGGTTAAAACTACATCACAATACATACTGTATGTTAAAACCACAGAGATGATAATAGTGGAGGAGGTGGCTAACACCAGAAGTTATTTATAGGTATGGTTGATTTTTCCGGAGACGTTGTTTGGATGACAGTAATAAAAATTATACAAGTTTCTCGTTTGTTTATATATATATATATATATATATGTATATATATATATATATATATATATATATATATATATATATATATATATATATATATATATATATATATATATATATATATATATATATATATATATATATATATATATATATATATATATATATATATATATATATATATATATATATATATATATATATATATATATATATATATATATATTATATATATTTTTTTTTTATTTTTTTTTTACCTACAAGCTCGATATACCCGTTAGTGGACAGCAGGGCATGAAAGAAGAGAGAAATTACGGGGTAGAAGCTAGATCTCCCTATAGTCGCAGAAGCCTTGATAAAAGGCAAGATTCAGCGAGGTTGTCTTTTGTAATTGTAAAATGGTTTTCCGAATGATGGAATTTTCTATGTGCACTGTATAACAGAATATTCAACTAGGGTAAGGATACTTCACCTTGCCAGTGGTGAGGGAGTTATTTATCTTCAACCTTTAAGGCACAGTCGACATTTTCTCACCTTGATAACATTTCAAGCCATTACCCTGGGACCAGAAGCCTGAACTCACCTTGCCTGTGATTAGGTAGTCAGCTATCTCCTTCCTAGTCTTCTGAGCCAATTCAGTCTTCTTCTTTTCGAGCAGCTTGAGCCTGTTGACCACCAGCCTCAGGTTGGTCTTCAGTTTGTTATAGTTTGGTCTTGAGGCGAACATGGCGACAGGAAAATTGCTCTGCGTGCTGTGGATCCCAAAGATTTACTTTCTATAATCGTGTGCTTTCTTATTGTTTTTCCTTACTTATTTTGTCACCACAAATGATGGACATTTTGTAGAATAAGGAAATAAGACTGGTTGTACACGAGGCACGTAGATAAGCCTCCACTTAGGCGAGTCACATTCTCAACTGATAGCAGTAGCATCGGGGTGCTAGGGGGACCACTAAGCTTGGACGATATCACCAGTAAATCTTTGATAAAGATGATTTACATGTTTACCGAGTCATAAAGCGGTCGACTTATTCCATCTACCGATACCCATTCTTATTTTGTATTTTTTTCTCGACTTTCCTCCATTTATATTTTTTAGTATGGTGAATAAATTAAGTTCAATTTTGTCTTCATTGTTTTCATTTTACTTCAACTCTCTTATTCTTTTAATCTTTTACTAAATATTTATTAAGATCAACATATTCAAGTATATATTCATACCCATACGTTAGCAGTGGTATTATGAAAAAGTTTAAATCATGTTTCCTTGTACTCCTATAGAAGAGTTTGATATTTCCGTTTCAACTAAGGAACTTTAATACATGAAGGCAGCATGACCGTCATCCTCCCATGAGGAGTCAGGGCTTGTCACTCGTGTGAAGCCAGTGGCCCGGGTGGGGTTAGCAGCCATGTCGGTCGACGCAAAACAAATAGTTTCATGGGATATCTTTTATTTAATTAGCAGCCCTATTTTGTAAAACAAACAATGTTATACTGTACTACTGTGTGTACATCACAATACAAAATTGTTTTAACCATTACCACCAGGGGGTAGTGGGCATATTACACACGATATGTTTGGGGAACTGGAAGACATGAAGGCAGTGCCTATTTTTAACTGGCACTTGTGCTTCATATAACTTAATTACAATTTCAACACTTACCACTGGAGTACTATCTCTCCTGTGGACGTCAGCTGGAGGGCGAATGCTCGGCGTGCATCGCAAGTGTTAGAAAGCCTTTACTGATGAAGACGAGATTGGTGGTTTGGGAGCCGAGAAGTGCCGCCCAGTATTTATTTAACAATCGAAATTGAGCTGCTAATGATAAAATCACCAACGTTACAGACAGCTAGCATTGACCATCCCTAGATTTTCAGGATTAATGATATGAAATGAATTATTTCCGTTTTTTTTAATACTTAAGGTCAACCCTATGATAATTTAGTGATAAATAACACTAATAAGTGATATTGCTGAACATGTATTACTCGAAACTCGATTATACTTTATCATACTTTGTGGTCGCCCATGTCCCATGAATATAGGGTGCAACAGCAGCCCGAAAGTTAAAACACATGACTATAGCCATTTTCCTTATTTAATCAATTTCTGCTCGATATTTAATTTTCACTTCATAACTTACCGATAGAAATGCTATAGAATCTCTCCTGGCCCTCCTAGTACATCTATATCCCGCACTGGACGGCAAAATGGAGGAAAATTTGCGAGTAGCAGCAGCAGTGTATGGACATGTTTAGTCAACAAAAAAGGTGGCTGCTAGCACCGGCAGTGCACTCGGGCAGTAGCATCAAGGATACGATGTCATGTCTCCTGTTTATTAAATCTTATTTGGTTTCAACATTTTCCTAGGAGTCATTTATAAGTAATCGTGGTTCTCTTTGGTCCACTGCTTGTCTGCTTTAGATTATGAAACAAGCAGGATATTTGAATATAAAATTCTGATTCAGTAGGACTTAGCCCTATTTGATACTTAGGCAGTTAGTGTCTATGTATACACACTTGTGTACCAAGGCATTCCTCACTCTGTCAACAATTATTCACTTCCCTTTTTAGTATACTGTACTGTATTGTACAGTAGATTACAAAATATTTATTAGGTTGAATTTTGGCAGAGTTAGCTCCCGAGGGATAATTATCAGATATGGCCAGCGCTATGTGTGGTCTGGGGTCTGCGAGTTTGTTGGCCAAGCTGGAATGGGCCATGGAAGAATTGGAGAGGGCCAAGGAAGAAATAGAGAGGGCCACGTTGGAGAACCTGAAATTAAAAGAAGAGATGGCGAGATTGAAGGGGGAGGCGGGACAGGGAAAGCCAGTGTCTGACGAAAATTCAAGCAAGTGGAAGGTTGTAGGGAGAGGGAAGAGCAAACTGGTGATGAAGAAACACACCAAGGATACGTCAACAACATCAGCAGCTAAGTGTACCAACTCGTTCAGTCCCTTGATAGACGAATTGGACGTTAGTACAGTCAGGGACAGGGTTGACAAGGAAGGTATAAAAACTTTAATTGTTGGTGACTCACAGGTAAGGTACTTGGACAGGGCTTTTTGTGGTAAAAACATAAATAGGATGAGGGTGTGTTTGCCAGGAGCTGGGTTGGGGGATATAATTGACAGGATGGACAATATCTTGTCTGGTAATGGGAACAAACCCATTATCTGCCTCAGTGCAGGAGGCAATGATATTGGCCGGTGTAGGAGCTTCTTGATAAGTTCAAGGCAGCTATAGATCGTATTAGGACTAAGGGAGGGATCCCTATCATATGCGGTGTCCTGCCTAGGAGAGTTGGCAGTGAATGGATGTCAAGGGTAGTTGGTGTCAACGACCGTCTTGACTTTTATTGCAAGTCAGTATCGGTCCCATTCATTGACAACTGGGACAACTTCTACGGCAGAAGGGACCTTTATGGGGTGCACCTGTCTAGGGCTCTAGAGGGGGCAGTTCAAAAGATATCGAAGTCTTTAAACTGCTAGGAGAACATATGAGCACGGGGGTGGAGGAGACTGCAGTGGGAGTGGGTAAACACAATGAAAGATTACAGGGAAATAGTGTTAGGAATGATGACAAAACTAAATTAAACGGAGTTTAAAACTAAACGCGATAAGGGGAGGACTCAGAACACGACTAACTTAAATATATACGACGCGAACAGTAGAAGTATGAGAAACAAAATGGATGATATTAGGGCCTTGGTATGTACCGAAAAAATCGATATAATAGCATTCACTGAAACATGGATCAACCTAGACTCAGGTGAGTTGCCGGTCGAATACCAAATTGCGGGTTACAAATTGTTCCATACCGATAGGCAGACCAGGAAAGGAGGCTGAGTAGCAATCTATGTTAGGGATAATCTGAAGTGTGAAATAAATAAGGAAATAAAAACTGAGCGGAATAGAAACAATTTGGTAGAATTAATCGACGGTAGGGAAAATTTAATCACAGGAGTAATATTTTGACCTCCCAATCTTGATAGTCAATGAGCGATTTATCTGGGATGAAATGCGCAGGGCTTCCATACACAACAAAGTCTGTATAGTAGGCGACTTTAACCTTGGCCAAATAGATTGGATTGACCTTACAGGTAACTCAGAATCAGAGGATTTTCTCGAGACGATCCAGGACTGTTTTCTAAGTCAACATATAACCGAACCCACCCGGGGTAATAATATACTCGATTTAGTTCTGTCAAACAGAGAAAACCTCATTAGCAATGTCAAGGTAGGGAACGAACTTGCAAACAGCGATCACAAAGAAATTAGATTCCAGTTAGATTTTCAGGGCAGACGTAAGGAAAATTCCACTAAAGTACCAGATTTCAGAAGGGCAAACTTTGACAGTTTAAAGAGGCAGCTGAGAGAGGGGGTGTCGTGCTTGGCCGTGAACCTGACAGATGACACCGACCTGATAAAGAGATCTGAGATTGCCGAGTTCCACGACAATTTAAATAGTGAGTTACTTAATGGACAAAGGCAGAACATACCATACAAAAAACTCAGATCAGACAACAATGACCCTAAATGGATAAATAATTATTTAAAGAGCATCATTGGCCAAAGGAAGGCTATAGGTAGAAGGATAAATTGTGCCGAAATTTACCTCCGGGATTATTATAGGGTATTGGCGAGTAGGGTTAAAACCGAGATAAGGAAAGCCAAGAGGAATAATGAGGTAAGGATAGCAAGGGAGGCAAAGACAAACCCCAAAGGATTCTACCAAATGTATCAAACTAAAACACGAGAAAAGATTGGACCAATACGGTCAGACACCGGCGAGCTCACTGATAACAACGGAGAAATGACCAATAATTTGAATAAGTATTTTTCAACAGTTTTCACCACCGAAAATTTAAACATGATACCCGGGGCACCGACTCTATTCAGAGATAGTGAAGAAAACAAATTAAGCGAGATAGTAGTGACTAGTAACGATGTTAGTAAGCAAATGGACAAACTAAAGCCTAATAAGTCACCTGGTCCCGATGAGATATTTGCCAGAGTATTAAAGGAATGTAAGGAAGAGCTTAGTATGCCCTTAGCAAAGTTGTTTAACATGTCCTTAAAAACATGTGTAGTACCAGAATCCTGGAGGATAGCGAATGTAATACCGATTTTCAAGAAGGGGGATAGATCACTATCCTCTAACTACCGCCCAATCAGTCTAACATCAATAGTAGGCAAATTACTGGAAGCAATCATTTCAAACTCTATTCGAAATCACCTGGAGAAGCACCGATTGATCAATGATTCCCAGCATGGCTTCACAAGCGGACGTTCATGTCTAACTAATCTATTAACATTCTTTTCATCAGTTTTCAAATCGGTGGACGAGGGGCACAATTATGATGTGGTATATCTCGACTTTAGCAAAGCCTTCGACAGAGTCCCCCACGAAAGACTAATTAGAAAGGTAGAAGCACATGGCATCAAAGGTAATATCCTTAAATGGATTAGGGCGTGGTTACAGGACAGGAAACAGCGAGTGAGCATTACGGTAATGGCACCAAGTCCCATTGGAGCAACGTCACAAGTGGAGTTCCCCAAGGCTCAGTACTTGGACCATTATTATTTATTATATACATAAACGACATAGATATCGGCATAGACAGCAACATAAGCAAATTTGCTGATGACACTAAAATAGGACGTGTTATTAAATCTGACGAGGACTCCGCAAAACTACAGGAAGATCTTAACAAATTTTTCGAATGGTCTGAAAAATGGCAGATGAAATTCAACGTGGACAAATGTAAAGTACTCAGTATAGGAGATGTAAACAGGGAAACCAGATGAACAACGATGCCATAGAGAAATCCGACTGCGAGAGAGATTTAGGAGTAATGATAAGTAGGAACCTTAAGCCAAGTAAACAATGTGTTTTTGCTCGTAACAGGGCTAATAAAGTAC